CACTGGCCACATGCACCTGTTTATGTAATACCGTTGCCGAACCAGTCGGGATAAACCAACCGGTACGACCCGATCTTCAAATACTTTAAGTACTATGTACTTATTGCCAAGATGATACTGGAGTTATGTAAGCTAGCGGGTCTCAATCAATTCTTATCTGCTGGTTCTCTTACTTAAGACTGGCCTTAGCTTGTGCACGCGTTTCCTCTTTGGCGCCTGATTTCCTAGTGCAAGGCGAGAGAGCAGGAGCCAACTGCAACTAAGCTTCTGTTGCCTCATCTTTCTAGAGCTCTTCGACCTTTCATCACATTTTATTCATCAACCACCCGCCATCACCATAAACCATCAACATCGTCAATCGTTCACTCTTTAACTGGCGGTGGAAGTCTCTCTCTCGTTAGGGAGCCATATAATTATTAATTCTCTTCGCCAATAGTTAGCACCGTAGCCCGTCGCCTCGCATACGTCTTCGACCCCGTCTGGGTGGCTTGTCAAGATGGTAAGCTCAACTCTCCGGCCTCACGCGAGCCAGCCATCCACTTTACTCGATGTATATCGCTGACATATCGTACTTAGGGTCAAAACCAGTCCGGAATGGGCGGCGCCGGCCAAGATGGCAAAGATGACAAGGACAAGAAGGTATGTTGACGGGCATTTCATTTCAACCCCGATGCGTTGCTACTTTCTTTTCTATAGGAGCACTACTTCGAGAAGCGGAATTTCTAACATGTATCCGGTCAAATAGAAGGAGAAGCCGAAGTACGAACCACCGCCCCGTCCGACTACCCGCATTGGCCGCAAGAAGAGAAAGGCCGCTGGTACCTCGGCCGCCGCCAAACTTCCCGCCGTCTACCCGACGAGCCGATGCAAGCTTCGTCTACTCCGAATGCAGCGCATCCATGACCACCTGCTGCTCGAGGAGGAGTTTGTCGAGAATCAGGAGCGCCTGAGAAAGGCTAAGGCAGCCAAGGACAACACCGGACCTGCCACCGATCTCGATGCGGGCGATCGGATGGCCGATGAACGAGGCCGCGTTGACGACATGCGCGGCAGTCCTATGGGCGTCGGTACTTTGGAAGAGATGATCGATGATGACCACGCCATCGTCTCGAGCACCACCGGTCCTGAATACTATGTTAGCATCATGAGTTTTGTTGACAAGGACCTGCTGGAGCCCGGAGCCTCCGTGTTGCTGCACCACAAGAGCGTCTCTATCGTCGGCGTTCTTACCGACGACACGGACCCCGCCGTCAACGTGATGAAGCTCGACAAGGCGCCGACTGAGTCATACGCTGATATTGGTGGTTTGGAGCAGCAGATCCAGGAGGTGAGAGAGTCAGTCGAGCTGCCTCTTCTCCATCCCGAATTATACGAGGAGATGGGTATCAAGCCGCCTAAGGGTGTCATTCTCTACGGTGCTCCGGGTACGGGCAAGACGCTGCTGGCGAAGGCCGTAGCAAACCAAACATCAGCTACATTCTTACGTATCGTCGGAAGTGAGCTGATCCAGAAGTATCTCGGTGACGGTCCCCGTCTAGTTCGACAGCTATTCCAAGTACGCATATTGTCATACTAGATCCCGCTGCGATGTGTTGCATACTAATTATGTTACAGGTCGCTGCAGAGAACGCCCCCTCTATCGTATTTATCGACGAAATCGATGCCATTGGTACGAAGCGTTATGATTCGACATCGGGTGGTGAGCGTGAGGTACAGCGAACCATGTTGGAACTACTTAACCAACTGGATGGTTTCGACGACCGTGGTGACGTCAAGGTTATCATGGCGACCAACAAGATCGAAACGCTCGACCCTGCCTTGATTCGACCTGGCCGAATTGACAGAAAGATCCTATTCGAAAACCCCGACCAGAATACGAAGCGCAAGATCTTCAACCTCCACACGAGCAAGATGAGCCTCAACGAGGATGTTGATCTGGACGAGTTCATCAGCCAGAAGGACGATTTATCGGGCGCCGACATCAAGGCCATCTGTTCCGAGGCCGGTCTGATGGCCCTCCGTGAACGTCGCATGCGCGTCCAGATGGCCGATTTCCGAGCCGCGAGAGAAAGAGTCCTTCGTACCAAGCAGGAGGGAGAACCCGAAGGTCTGTACTTGTAGTGTATTACGTGTATTCTAAGGTTATGGGGGGTCAAGAGGGGGCCGCAGCAGAGGCGCGTCAGTAGGCCTGAAACTGAAATAGACAATAATAAGCGATACTGCGGACGCTATTCGCAGTTCCCCAACTTATTGTCGCAACAAAGTGTATTCGATTTTGCTGCCAGTGCTGAGGCCACCATCTTTACGGCATTATTCATGATCGAGCCAATACCGAGTTGACTACATAGTAGTACAGTGCTCCGACCTGCTCTAATAAGCTGTTATATCGAAAGCTGCTACGGGTACGCCAGACTACTAGCTAAGGCGCTAGGCGGGGATATAATGCAGGTAGTATTGGGTAGTATGTAACCCATCTTTCTGGACCTATCGCTACAGGATATTGTCATTCTCGCAAGAAAGCTGCGCCTAGCTTCTTAGCTTCAGTGTGGCGATGACATCAACGTCATCCCCTCCATCACAAGTAAAATCCAAACAAATCGTATTTACCTTGACGCATAGGATTATGTAGGACCCGGATGCCCAGGCAGCTTCCAGCTAATTAGAAACCGCTCCTTACAGGTTAGGCCTCCAATTAGAGACCAACATAATACCTAAGCCACTGTTACACGCGGAATCTTGATACGACCATTCTACAGCACCGTTTGTAGTTTGCGCCTTATTACACTTATATCGGTCTCATTCCCCTCCAAGCAGTTTTCTCCCCTTTATTGCTTGATTACTTCTTCGTGTCCACAGATCCCTTCGTTTTTTGAGCTTCTAACCTGGAGGCATCTCATTACTAGCCAAGATTAAATCTACTTCGGCTGTATAGACGGTTGAACCCCGCCCCATCTAATCTACTTGACCCTTGTTACTTGAGGCCCTCCTCTATCCAGACTTCCACGATGAGCGCACACCCAAGTCATTCGCCTATCCCAGGCGGCAACCCCGATTACTACGCCGAGCTGACCGGCGATAGTCCCCAAACCCAAACGCATCCAGCGCAGCCTAATCCAGGTCAACAGGGACAATACCTTGCTCCGGGCGCTCCCCCGGCATCCAACACCGATTCGCAATACTTTCCACCACCGCCTCCCGGACCTCCTCCCGCTACCCAGCACCATGACCACTACCCACCTCCTCCAGGTCCGCCACCCGCAAACCTAGACCAGCAGTACTTCCCACCTCCACCACCGGGACCTCCTCCACACCACACTTATCCCGCGCAAGGGGACCCGAATTTCCCCCCTCCACCAAGCTACGCTGAATCCGGAGGCGCCGCCGGTATCACCGTGACCGATGAAAAGCCGCCGATCCTCCCGCCGCGACCGAACTCTGCCCTGGGCGCGCAAGCAGCGGTGCCACAATTCCCGCCTCCTCCCACCGACTCCTCGGGCCCGCATGCAGCCGCAAGCGGCCACCACCAACCACCCACTTACCAACCATCTGCCCACCCCACTGCACCGGACCAGCACGCGCAACCAGCGAGCGCCAGCGCATCCGGGAAATCCGGGTTCGGGCGCAAGCTGTACGAATGGGGCATCAAGGCAGGCGTGCCGATCAACAAGCTGACGAACAAGCTCGGGTCCGAGGCCTTCTGGCCCACGACCATGGACAAGGAGTGCGATAAGGCGGCGCGCATCCTGAAGAGTTTCTGCAGTACGCCATACCCCTTCTCCAGACGTGATAGGGAAACGAGATCAAACTAACTGATATCTGTGTGTCTGTGTCTATAGAGGACGGTTTCTACACCGCCGCATCAACAACCCCCCACGCGCCTCCGTCCCCCGGCCGCACCAGCGGCAGCAGCAGCGGCAATACCTCCGGGCCGACAGGCAAGCCCAAAGTCCTAGTCAAGATCCCTCAGTCCGTAATTGCGAACGCAAAGGGCCTCGCGATCTTCACCACCTTCCGCACGGGCCTACACATCTCCGGCGCGGGCGGCTCCGGGCTCGTAGTCGCGCGGCTCCCCGACGGCAGCTGGTCGCCGCCCGCGGGGTTCCTCGTGCACACGCTGGGCGCGGGGATCATGGCCGGGCTCGACATCTACGACTGCGTGTGCGTGCTCAACACCCCCGCCGCCGTAGACGCCTTCGCGAAGCCGCGCCTGAGTCTCGGGGGCGAGATCGCCGTGGTCGCGGGCCCGATCGGCGCGGGGACCAGCGTGGAGGCCGCGCTGGGGAAAGGGAGCAAGCCCGTGTGGAGCTACATGAAGAGCCGCGGCCTGTACGGGGGCGTGCAGGTCGACGGCACCGTGGTGGTGCAGCGGCCGGATGCGAACGCGGCGTTTTACGGGGTGGACAAGATTGGCGTGGATAAGATTCTAAAGGGCGAGGTTAAGGCTAATACGGGGAGGACGAGCGCCGCCGGCAAGAAGGGAGACGAGCTGGTCATGTGGCCCGAGGGTGCGAGGCAGCTGGTCGAGGTGCTGAAGGCGGCGGAGGGTAAGGGCGCGGATGAGGGCGTGATGAGGGAGCTGGGGAATCATCCTACGCCGGGGGATCTTGCGCCTGCGCCGGGTCAGGAGCAGCAGCAGCAGCAGCAGGGGGCGTATCAGCAGTATCTAGATGCCGATACGAAGGATAAAGTGAGGTTTACTTAGGTTCGTTATATCATAGATGTGGTGGAATAACTCATCTTGCCTGAGATATCCAGGTCGAAGGGATGGTAACGAGTAGAATGAATGTTTGATACCTACATGCATTGCTATGGCAGAATCGCAAGATGCCCTAATGAAAATGCTCTATTTCGTTAAATCCTCAAGACGCATCGTGGCATATCTTAATCCATACAAATGGACCATATTTCACCTCCCAAAAATTTACTATAAATGCCTGGGGTGAATCGAATAAAACCGATAATAAAAGGAGAGGTATGGTAAAAATACGGCAAAAAGGAGTTGTCCTCGGCGAGACTCGAACTCGCGACCTTTGGATATCCCGATCTCATGATAGGGTCATATAGAATATGAGACCAACGCTCTAACCAACTGAGCCACGAAGACTGACAATTTTTCCGCTTTTAGTGCTCTATAGCCTTTGCATATTCTCCGCTTGCCGAGGATCAATGCGGGGCCTGCTATACCCCGAGCCATGACCCCTGAACGGTGTCACTAACCCAGTGCTAAGTATCCTATAGGCTAGAGTATACTCCGGCTGCAAAAAAATGAAGAACAATCGCTAGTGGCTCGATATGGACTTACTCTTGAGCAAATCAACGCCAGTAGCAATTATTCTTCATAGTATACAATACGATAGAATGTCTATATATACCTGCCTCGTATGTATGTCGGTACAGATGTATGCAAGCGTTACATGCCGTACCGAAAATTCGCACGATCCAATCAGGAACGCCTCCGGGAAAGCCCCCCAGCGACGTGCGTGATCACTCGCGTCATAACGCAGCTCGTTCTCGGACTTCTCCAGTGGCACGGTTGGCGTCGTCGATCGTAGTGGAACATTCCGTCCTCGTATCTCGTTAACTTTAGCCTCGCTGCCCTGCAAGAGGACCTTGAGAACCTCCCACTGTTAGCTACACTTGTAAGAGAGGTTCTATGATTATTAATACCGACATACTGTATGTATCTATATAGGGAAGATTCCACCCATGGAGGTTACTCCGTAGCCAGCATAGAAAGTCGATACGATATTTCGACTCCGTACATCCAATACGCACCGAAAATAGGCTTTCAAGAGCTGTGTCGCGTGTTGATATGGCGTTAAGTTGAGGTCGGTACTAGATTACCCCCTCTAATACTCCCCTTATGTCTTGGTAAACCATAGTTGTTGTTCCTCGTCAACCAGGTCCGACACGCCCGCCCACATTCAATATTGGCGCCAGCTTAAAGCCTCATCTAGTCGTCGGTGATGAGCTATAAGTCTTCCGTGTATGACTTACAAGGCGTTAATAGTACTAAAAATATATAAGGATTGCATTTATTGAATCGCTAATAACCATAGCATTTGGCAGGTGTTGGCTATCAGAAGGCTAGAGACCCCTACCCCGGGTAAGGGGGTTTGGCCCTTTTGGCCCCCCAATTCCTTAAGGTACCAGTAGTATTTTGCTCCCGGGATAGGGGCGTCCACAGATGAAGTTACCTTCCGATATATTTACCTGCGTACATGTAAGTAGGCCGTAATCTTAGCCGGTAGGAGTTGAGGCTCCTCCCTAGGCTTCTTAGTCCGCCTTGTAGTAAGGTGAAAAGCCCGAGTGCCAGTGAATGAGTATATATATCGATTGTTGTAGAAGGGAAGTAGTCCCTGATAAGATAGCCAGCTCTGGGTACAGTATAGATACCATGTGACACTGGGGCTCTGCAGGATTAGGTGACTATTGGAGCTGTGAGCGACGAGAGCCCCTGTAGAGAATACATGGACCTATACGAAAGTATATTCGGGTGAGACATGCCACGCTGTAACGCCACAAACGTAAAGTTCTCTTACCATTACCATAGCAAGTGTGAAAAGCTATGTTACTAATAAGGAATAGCCTCCTAGACAGCAGTGGGTAGGACAATACGTACAGCCTCTTGCTACGCCCCTTATCCCGATACCTGCCTGATTAATGCACTACCGCAGCTACACCTACAACAAGAACGTTATCTGCATAACATAGGTTCCACAGGAGTAGATGGGGCGGTATCAGAGCGTTCGAAAGCCCGGCCCCCAACATGGTTGGTGGCTCGAACTACGTCCCAGGCCCTTGGATAACCACGTGCCAGGGTAGCTCTCGGGTTCATGGCAATGTCGTGCGATGGAATCTGCCGCCTAGAACTATGAGATCGGTTTGCGTGCAGCGAATCCTGCTTTGCTAAGTTGTCAGCTGATCTGGGTTGAGTATGCCTAATAAGAACGTAGGTCCCCAGCGTTTAAGCATTGGCTGAGAATCAGCGCCACTCGAAAGTGGCCGCCTCGTCATTACGCGGCTACGTAGGACGAATATCCTGTTCGGGTTTGCCCGGGCTCTGAGGATTCTTGAAGCCCCCCGAATTAGGGCTTCGGTGTGGTCGTTGCGGCAGGTAAGTTTCGAATAGGGGGTTTACACATCAATCTTTAGTAAAGACACTAATACGCTCACGTGAATTATTTGATGGGTTAGCTTCACGGGTTATTGCCGCGCGAGCTGCCAGATTGTAACAAGTGGTGGCTGAGACGATATAAAACGTCGGTTATTGTGCTGCCGTACCAGTATCCTCTTGTGTTAGCAGCGTCTACTGAGGCAAAGCTATTCGGCGATACCTGAGCTCTACAAAACTTCAGCACCGTGTCTCCTACGACATGTCAATGTCGTATATGTTTAATGAATATGTTCTAACAGGAAATTTCGCCTTGCTTATCCCGCTTTGGATCTTTTTGGTCCAGCATCTCTTTCAAAATGGAACGCAATAACTCAATTCAAGGAGAGCGCCCGCCTGACTCCATGTATTTGGACGTACTCTTCCAGCCTCTTGAGGTAACACCGTTTCTATCAACCATCCACCTAAATGAAGACTTCACTTTGAGCCTCAGCGAGTATTCCGATACAAAAGTCGATAGACCCCAGACGCCGTTTCGAGTTGGGACCTTTGCGGAGAAGAAAATCCTATCGGGCTGGTTCCCAAGAATAAACGACACGGAAGAGAACAATTGGCGCATCAGGTTTTTTAGCAAAAGAGATAAAGCTCTTTTAATTCAAATCGCCATACTTACTATTGTTCTCATTACGAACCTAGGTCTAACGATATATTCAAGCATGCATTACCCTTCAAAGAACGGGGTTGGGTTAATATATCAAGGAGATTGCGATACTGTCAAAAAGCTTGACCAGTGGCTTCACCTCCTAATCAATGTATTAAGCACCATGATACTTTCTGCTTCCAATTTCTGCATTCAATTGCTGGCAGCCCCTACTCGCGCGGACATCGATAAAGCACATCGCAAACAGACATGGCTGGATATTGGTGTACCAAGCTTGAAGAACTTTCGACACATTGGGCCATGGCGACGCTTTTGCTGGATTTTCTTAGCTTGTTGCGCCCTGCCTTTTCATCTCATGTAAGAGACCGCCCTAACAGCCCTATCCTATATGATAAGGCGACTGATAGTAACTAATGAACCTAACCGAAGGTATAACTCTGCCGTATTCCAATCTCTAGCGTCGAACGACTATACAGTAGCGGTTGTCAAGGACTCCTTTCTTAACGGTACCTCTTGGAATATGACAGTGGCCGAACAAAATAGAGCAGGGGACTGGGTTTGGAATGACACCCGGGTTAACCTACCGCAAGACTATTATAAAGTTATCTCGAATATCCAACAGGAGGTTATGAAAGGTCATTACGAAAGGAAGAATATTTCCGATTGCTTTTCTCTCTACGACGATTGCTGGTCTCCGCAAGGAAACGTAGTGATATTCATCAAGAATGACACTAGCCCGCCAGAGGACGGCAGTCTGCTTCTTTACGTCGGCGTCGTTCCGAGATGGGATGACTGGGCGAAGAACATGTGGGCTGTATCGAATGGTACCGGTACTAATCAGTTTACCGCCGTTTCACCATCTCAACCGGTAACGACTTGGTTACTTGGGCCGCCAAAATACCAAGCATCTTATTGTCTTATTCAGCCACCCAACACCGCCGCAGGTCGCTGTCAGTTCCAATTCTCTACTCATATCATGTACACCATTTGTGTCTTCAACCTTGTGATAGGTGTAACGATGGTATCGGTTTGGGTGCTAAGGAGATGGATCAAAAAAGGCAAAATCCTTCGGACACAAGAGCCAGCAGACTCCAGCCGCATTGGGTTGTTTACGCTCGGCGATGCGATAGCATCTTTCATGAGAAACCCCGATAAGGCTACAGAAAATATATGTCTGGCGACAAAAGACGACTTTTGCCAAGGAAAACGGCTGGGTAGGCGTGCGACCAACTCATGGGAGCCGCCGAAGCACCCCCGGCAGTGGAAGCCAACTCCAAAGCGATGGATGACCGCAGTCAGTCGGAAACAGTCATTGGGACTTCTATTCATGTATCGTCCCTCCCGCCTCTATATTCCCTTCGTGGTTCTAACTGTTATTTGCCTAGGTACGCTGCATTCGTCGTCGTCGCAGGTCTCGCGTTATGGCGCGCGATAAGTTCGTTCAGTCTGCGACAAATGCCAACCAGTTTTATGGATCTTTTCGGGGTTGGCTTCGGTGCTCTGACGCAGTTTACTTTCTTAGTGTTGGACTTCCCAAGATCAGATCCCACTGGGCTCCTAATTAACGTACTCGTCGTGAACATGCTTCAGCTTTTCTTCTCGATCATGTATCTGGTTGCCAACGCGATATTCAGTACTTGCCTCATACAACGCGAGTTTAGCCTCATGTATTCCGAGGATAAGAGAAAGGCACTGCGCGTTTCTGAGCCCGTAGGGATTCAGCGCTCGAGTTATTTCATTACGATTCCTTTTCGCTACGGTATCCCGCTTTATATCGTAGCGGGACTCACTCACTGGGTCCTCTCGCAGAGCTTCTTTCTGGCTCGTATTACTGCGTTAACAACGGACGGGCTCCAGGATGACGGAAATTCGTTCTCGACGTGTGGTTACAGTCCAGGCGCAATTATTGTCCGTTCGTTATCCACCAAATCTACTAGTGACATTGTGTCCAGGAACTAATCAAGTGCATCAGTTATTATAGTAGTGTCCGTCCAATTCATAACGATGATTGCTCTCGGGTGTCGCAAATTTGATGGCACAATGAGGATGGTGTGCACAAATAGCATGGCGATCAGCGCCGCCTGCCACAGTCTGGAAGAGGATCGAGAAGAGGGTTACCAGCTTCCCGTTCAATGGGGTGTTGTCGAAGTTGGGGATGATGGCGTTGGCCATTGCACTTTCACGACGGCTCCTACGCATCTCATTCGTGAACCTCGAGAAGGAATGACTTACCGATGATATTTCGGCAGTACGTATACATACATGTGTACATATATATGAGTTAGATTCAATGTTTGGAGTTAATAGTTGTGAAAACAAAGTTAGAATA